TTTTGTAGACATCATCCTTTGTTTCCTTGGTTTGTATTTTCTGTTCACCCATGGCTGCTTTAATCACATCCACATCTCGCTGGGTAAACTGCAAACTTGTTTTTATCTCCTGTATTTCTCTGGTCATGTCGTCGAGTCTCTTGTTATTTGTCTCCATAAGTAGTTGCACAAAACCTTTGAAGTTGTCTTGTTGTTGGCTCAACAGTGCGGTGTACATCTGCTTCTGCTGACTCAACATCTCTGTTACTTGCGCCGCTGAAATATAATCCTCTTCTGCTTCAACATCCTCGTTCGCTTCTGATTTATTAGCTCTTTTCCCTCTTGGAGGCATTTTAATAGTTGTAGAATTTGTTCAAAGACTTGAAAATGTAGAAGATGTGAAAAATCATAGAACAGACAAGAGGAGCAGTAAAGACGTCTGCTCTCGCTTGCAACCCGGAAAACCACACATCAGAGGCAAATACCTTAAAACCTAATTCTGACACTACCTGTGTAGATGCTAGATGGAAAGAATGTATGAAGGGACATACAGTATCATTACAGTACAGGCAGCAGTTCTACTGTTTTCTCTCTCTCTCTCTCTCTCAGCACTTTAAGACACTGGTGGAGGAGCTGCATGTTAAAGGAGAAGCCAAGATCAAGAACGCCATGAAGGAATCCTTCAAAATCCTAAACGAGGTTCGTATGCCAGTGCCCTCAGGGGTCAGAGGTCAACTCTCTCATTAAATAAAAGTACAAACAACTGTGTGAATGAAGAGTTTAGATAAAACACCATACATGTGTGTTTATCTGTGGAGTGTAGACGATGGCGATGGTGGTGTGAAGGTGTTGCTCGGCTGTGTGTCTGTGTGCAGGCGAGGGCGAGCGGTCAGGGCAGCATGTGTAACCAGGCTATCATGCTGATCACGGACGGAGCCATGGAGGACTTTGAGTCTATCTTTGAAGAGTTCAACTGGCCGGAGCGCAGGGTGAGGACCTCTGAAAGTTTCCTTGATTCTCACCAAAAGCTACAGGAACCTAGAATATTATGGATGTTTGTAAGGCTGTATGTCTGTGTGTGTGCGCTGAAGGCTGCCTTGTGTACAGAAACACAGTCTCCTGCTTCAGACTCGGACAACGTGACCACAGAATTTCATTATACTGGCTGAACTTTTGAACCTGCAGCTGTTTCCTTCAGTTCATCTTCATGCTAAATGTTGGCTCACAGTTCAGTTTGTCAGTGACGGATCAACTGTGCAAGCGGTGGCCCGCTCAGACGTGTAGCTTCTGCAGGTGCAGCATCAAACAAAGGACTGAACATCCTGGAACAAAACGACTGTTTCTTCAACATCATCTGTAGATGAAGCCTTCACCAGCAGAGCTGCATGTCACAGATTTGAATACAAATGCAAAACAAGGATCATCAGGAGTTGTTCAGTGATCTCTCTTTTAATTATTATAGAAAAATTATCACCTTAAAACTGAACAAAAATCACAGAATGTCAATAAGCCACTTTCTTATTAATTACGTATTTTGAGTGTTGAAATCACACTTATTTTCTGAGGAGGAATCCTGCTTTTCTGTAGGTGACATACAGTGCCTTGCGAAAGTATTCGGCCCCCTTGAACTTTGCGACCTTTTGCCACATTTCAGGCTTCAAACATAAAGATATAAAACTGTAATTTTTTGTGAAGAATCAACAACAAGTGGGACACAATCATGAAGTGGAACGAAATTTATTGGATATTTCAAACGTTTTTAACAAATAAAAAACTGAAAAATTGGGCGTGCAAAATTATTCAACCCCCTTAAGTTAATACGTTGTAGCGCCACCTTTTGCTGCGATTACAGCTGTAAATCGCTTGGGGTATGTCTCTATCAGTTTTGCACATCGAGAGACTGAAATTTTTGCCCATGCCTCCTTGCAAAACAGCTCGAGCTCAGTGAGGTTGGATGGAGAGCATTTGTGAACAGCAGTTTTCAGTTCTTTCCACAGATTCTCGATTGGATTCAGGTCTGGACTTTGACTTGGCCATTCTAACACCTGGATATGTTTATTTGTGAACCATTCCATTGTAGATTTTGCTTTATGTTTTGGATCATTGTCTTGTTGGAAGACAAATCTCCGTCCCAGTCTCAGGTCTTTTGCAGACTCCATCAGGTTTCCTTCCAGAATGGTCCTGTATTTGGCTCCATCCATCTTCCCATCAATTTGAACCATCTTCCCTGTCCCTGCTGAAGAAAAGCAGCCCCAAACCATGATGCTGCCACCACCATGTTTGACAGTGGGGATAGTGTGTTCAGGGTGATGAGCTGTGTTGCTTTTACGCCAAACATAACGTTTTGCATTGTTGCCAAAAAGTTCGATTTTGGTTTCATCTGACCAGAGCACCTTCGGACAGGGAAGATGGTTCAAATTGATGGGAAGATGGATGGAGCCAAATACAGGACCATTCTGGAAGGAAACCTGATGGAGTCTGCAAAAGACCTGAGACTGGGACGGAGATTTGTCTTCCAACAAGGCAATGATCCAAAACATAAAGCAAAATCTACAATGGAATGGTTCACAAATAAACATATCCAGGTGTTAGAATGGCCAAGTCAAAGTCCAGACCTGAATCCAATCGAGAATCTGTGGAAAGAACTGAAAACTGCTGTTCACAAACGCTCTCTATCCAACCTCACTGAGCTCGAGCTGTTTTGCAAGGCGGAATGGGCAAAAATTTCAGTCTCTTGATGTGCAAAACTGATAGAGACATACCCCAAGTGACTTACAGCTGTAATCGCAGCAAAAGGTGGCGCTACAAAGTATTAACTTAAGGGGGCTGAATAATTTTGCACGGCCAATTTTTCAGTTTTTTATTTGTTAGAAAAGTTTGAAATATCCAATAAATTTTGTTCCACTTCATGATTGTGTCCCACTTGTTGTTGATTCTTCACAAAAAATTACAGTTTTATATCTTTATGTTTGAAGCCTGAAATGTGGCAAAAGGTCGCAAAGTTCAAGGGGGCCGAATACTTTCGCAAGGCACTGTATTCCCAGTAATTATTAAAGCCATGAGAAAATACTCAGCTGTTGTAGAAGCAACAGAACATGTTAGAAATATGCCACGCACACAGCCAGGTATGAGCATTTCTCTCTGCTCAGGTGCGAGTCTTCACCTACCTGATCGGCAGAGAGATGACCTTCGCTCAAAACACCAAGTGGATCGCCTGCAACAACAAAGGTCAGTAGCGTGTGTGTGTGTGTGTGTGTCCATCTCTTGAATGCAGATATTGATATTTGTGTGTGTTTTCTCAGGTTACTACACACACATCTCCACACTGGCCGATGTGCAAGAGAACGTCATGGAGTATCTGCACGTGCTCAGCCGGCCAATGGTCATCAACCACGACCACGACATCATCTGGACCGAAGCCTACATGGACACTGTGGTGAGTCTGGCCGGTCCTGCTTACAGGAGCGAGTCATCAGTGAATATAATTAGCATTTTAATTACTTCCTTCAGATATGAAGTATCAGAGGGGACAAGAAAGTTCAGATTGGCATCCCATAGAATCAGGATATTAATAAATCCATTTAGATTTGTTTGTGCACTGTTTCTGAGAAATGAAACATTCTCATTTGGTTCTAATATTTAATTTCTCAAAAATAATTCAAGCACAAATTTGTATTTTGTGTGAAGAACAAATGGAAATAGTTTCATTCATATTTATATTTCATTCACTGATCACACTGGATGCCAGCCTTAGCACAGGGTCCAGTACTGTTCCCTACAGTCATAATTTGTTTGGAATATTGTTTAATTTGATGCCCAGCCAGAGTAATTAATGCAAAATGTGCATGTGATGTGGAAGTGTGCAGAAAAGGCTGTGCAATGGTGTAACAGTCACTGCACTGTGCACATTCAGAAACACTTCAGTTCTTATACTTCTGTAATGGTTCTAAAGTCTTTGCCAGAGATGTCACTTAAGTAAAAGTGCATCTGTTAGGACACGCAGGCAGGTCTGCCTTGCTGCCATCTGCTGTTTCTCCTGAGTGAATTGTCTAGTTGCTGCACATGCGTTCACCAGCAGCCTGTGTTGGGCTGCATAACAGTTACGTCAGTGTGTGTGTGTGTGTGTGTGTGTGTGTGTGTGTGTGTGTGTGTGTGTGTGTGTGTGTATTTTGTTTGTGTGTGTGAAAACACTGCATGCTCGTCACTCGTTTGTGCACATCATCTTCATCGGTCACTTCACTTTCATCAGTGTGTCTGCTTCCTCCTTGTGCCTCTGCTCATCTTTCCCATGATCCTCCGGGTGTTCCCCTCCATTGCTCCGGCAGCTTCCCAACACCAAAGAGGTAAAGAAGACGTTTTAAAACATCCACAGTGTCTAAACTGTGACTTTGAAAATGTTCCTCAGAGTTGAGTCAGCCTCTTTGAACTGAAGAAATGAAACCCAATAATACTCACCAAGTTACAGTAGGATACAGTCTATTACAGAATGCATAAGATCATAATGGTCCTACTATAAATCACCCAGCGCTGTTTAATTGGTCATAGTCAGACATGTCAGTGGAAGTAACTGTGCTGCAAAAGGCATTTTAAATGTTTTATCGGTTTCAAAAATCTTTCTGATCCACCATTCATGTTCACGTGCACATTTATAAATAATAACTGTATTAACCGTGTCCCTGTCTCCCAGCTCTTCAACACCAAGGCTCAGAGTCTGCTACTGATGACCTCTGTGGCCATGCCGGTCTTCAGCAAGAAGAAGGAGACGGTCAGTTGAGTTCACTTTGAGGATTCACTGTCACATGTACTGAACACCTTCCCATTATGCCGAGTGTTGACCCTCCCTCTTGTCTCTCCAGCTGTCCCACGGGATCTTGCTGGGTGTGGTCGGCTCGGACGTCCCGCTGATGGAAGTGATGAAGCTGGCACCCAGATACACGGTGAGCTCAGATCTGTTCAGCCGAGTAGGACAGTAATGATCATAAGTTATCCAGGTGTGGTTCACGGTGCAGTACAGCAGGAAAAAAGAATGACAAACATAAAATAATTATATTTTCAAATAGATTTGAGTGTGAATACGAGGAGAGTATAAGTAGGGAAGCCTACAAAGAAAGGTTTGGATCAGCGGTGCAGGTCAGTCACATGGGAAACCAAACTGCCATACAGCTTAGTTCTGGTCTGAGGAAAATAAAGCCTTAAATGTCAACGTTCCTCCTCAGCTGGGAGCTCACGGCTATGCCTTCCTCATCACCAACAACGGGTACATCCTGGCTCACCCTGACCTACGACCTCTGGTGAGTTCTGCAGAATAGACAACGCTGTAAAGGCCAGATTTAGCTTGAGAGCCCTGCAGCAGCAACAGCGAGTATTACACTGTGGCAGATGTCCTGGAGGGCACATTAAGGGGAAAAGGCATAAAGTATTTATTAAGACAGTTACACAGTATTCACTAGTGTCTCCTGTGTCCTACAGTACAAAGATGGAAAGAAGCTGAGGCCGAAGCCGAACTATAACAGTGTGGATCTGTCTGAGGTGGAGTGGGAGGACACAGACGAGCTGGTAAACACACACAGGGACAGTAATCACCAGATGAATCTCACCTAGCAGAATCTGGAAAGGTTTCTTAGAATGAAAGCCTTCTCATGTTGTGTCTTCACCTTCCAGCTGAGAACAGCCATGGTGAACGGAGAGACGGGCAGCATCAGCCTGAGCGTCAGAGCGTTGGTGGATAAAGGGGTGAGCGATCCATCGATTCAGTGTTCATCGGTGATTTATTCACAGAAACCCCAACATTATGTTCTTCTTCTCTCTGTCACAACCGAGGGATGATGCTGTCGAGTTTTGAGTTTGATTATCTAGAATCAAACTAATAACTGGTAAGAAATATTAATGAAAGTTAATGTGGAGGCTGAGGGAAAGATAATCACCTCTACCTAAATAACATGAACCAAAATAAGACACAGTATGTCCACCCAGCCATAAACTTGCCCATCACAACAACACTCCAAACCTCAACCCTTGCCATATACCCAGCTGGTCACAAAATTATAAAAATACAGCGGTTTCAGAAAGTATTGAGACCCCACCATAGTGTCAGATTAATGTTGGTCACCGTCATCTTTTACCAGCAAATTGCGTGAATTTCTTTGTATACTGTTACAAATAAATACTGCGCCAAGTGTGATGATACATTTCATTGAGATTTTCTTGTTATAATAAATTTGTCACGTATACTTTGACAGAAGTTCACAGAGTTAGACTTCATTGTATGAAATTAAACACTTGTGTAATTTCTCTGCTGCTCAGGAGGTGGCAGTAATGCACCTGTTAGCACTGACTACCAGCTGCTTTGATTACAAGAAGAAGAAGAAGAGGCTCATGGCCTTTGTTTTACTGGCAGCAGTTGTGTGCAAAGAACAGACTGTTGTGTCTAATTTGCTACTGTTTGCTCAGCTACAGCCACATGTTTCACCCTAGCAGGAGCAGCCTGTAGAGGCTAGCATAACATGTGCACTGAGTTAACCTACCTGCCAGATACCTGGCCAGGTTTTCAGGTGAAGCTCCAGCTCAGTGTTGTAGAGCAAGTGTTTAAGGTCGCAAACCTACCTGATCAGCTTCAGTCTGAGTAGATACACAGACACAACAGCCAGGTTGTTTTGTTGGTCTTACTTGTATGAAAGCTCTCATATAGCATGGCTATCCTCCCCGACAGAAACGACCTCTGTACCTCATCAATGAATACTTCTACACAAACATCGATGAGACACCTTTCAGGTAAATCAGCCTGCTACATGAACTGAGAGATTTAGGATTAGACTGTCCTGTTAGTCACCCGCCACAAGAGACAAACACCACCAGTGTCCATCATGTGTCCCATAGTTTCTCCATATTAACATGTTAGTATGTGCCATAGTTAATTACCTTCTGCTTTGCTGTGTGTAATTCTGGTGTGAAAAGACAGGGCTCGTACAGACAATACAAAACATGATGTAAGGTTTTCTGTCCATATTCTAAGAGTAAAATTAAGTATTGTTTGGATTCAGTGTTACTGTCTCTCAGTTCTCTGTTGATGTGACGAGTTGTGTTTGTGGGGTTTGACCACTAGAGGGCAGCAGGTCTCACCTCCTCCATATGTCCCTGCAGCTTGGGCGTCGTGCTGACTAAGGGTCACGGAAAGCTGGCGTTCATGGGAAACGTGTCCGTGGAGGAAGGTAGGACTTCCCATAATCCCCTGCATGAACAGCAGTGTCCCTCCTGTATCATTTGTGCTTTAAAGAGAGGAAGGAAACTTTATTCAGTTGTATCACTCACTAATTAATTAATAGCTTAATTGATAACTTTTTCTCTGATGATTTATGTTTTGTGTTTATTGTGAACTATGGGCATTTCAAGCTAAAATGCTATTTGATATTTGCTGGAAATTAGTCAATTATTCATAGGCCTGATGTTCAGATGATTTGATGATAATTAAATTTACCTGCAGCGAAACAGCTTTTTACATCGAATCTAGATGTTTTTGTTTCAGCTAACTTCAGCCTTTTCACCTCTGCCTGCAGGGCTGCATGACCTCACCTCCCCAGACCTCAGCATCGCCTCTGAGTGGTATGTCTGAAACCACAGGCCTTCAGTTTGAAACATGAACTGCTGCTTAATACAGTCGGTTTCTTCAGGCTCCATTAACACGTAATCAGTTTGTCGAATCAGATGACAATAATGTATTACTGTTTAGTAAATTGCAAGGTGAGTGTGGGAGTGTGGTGAAAGCAGGAAGAGCAGAATCAGTCACCTTAAATCATTTATGTGGTTTAATGCATGAAGATTAGAAGCATGTATGAAAAGTAAAAGTTAGGATTTGCTGATCAAGTCTCTGAAATTAGTTGTTTACTTTCCAGTGATATTCAGATATATTAGTTATTTTTTCACATTTCCCCTTAAACTCTGTATCTACAAGGAGCTGAAAACCTCTAAAACTCCCAGTAGCACCCAGACTGGCTCTTTTGAAGCCGCTGACCCTGGTTTAATAATTCCTCAGGACTTACTGTGAGACGGACATCGACCCTGCTCACCGAAAATACAACCAGCTTCAGGCTGCCATCCGCTACCTGCTGGGGAAGGAGCCCGACCTCGAGTGTAACTTTTTTTTTTTTTTAAATAAAACTGGAATAAAAAGCCCATGCAGCATGTCTCTCTATGCGTTTCCAGGCATTTGAATCAGCGCTACATTTTACACATAGAGCAAGTCCTTTTTCATGTTTTGTTAAAGCGGCTTCAGAGATTTAACTGTTGTTGGACAGCATCTGTGACAGATGTGACAACATTTGAGAAGTGATGAGTATTTTGCCTTTAATTTGACTGAACCTGTCCGCTGTGCAGGTGATGAAGTGCTGCTGCAGCAGACGCTGTTTGACGCAGTGGTGACGGCTCCACTGGAGGCCTACTGGACCGCCCTGATGCTCGATGACAAGTGGGACATCAGCCTTTATATTTGACATCTGAAGATTTAAAGGGACAGTTTATCCAAACTGCAAAAATCTCCACTGATGGTCTCAAAATTTAAGGAATCAATAGTTTTGAGCATCAAAATAAAAACTTTGAATGCTCATCTATGTCGTCATTATATTGCTATGGTTGTTTAAATTTGAGGGATCAAACCTGGACAAATTAATCCAAAACATACAGCTGGTGACAAGTGAGGGGAAACTCCTGACTGAGTGGAGACCCAACCAGCAGGGTCACTGATCAATCAGCTGATCATCGTCCTGATGATCTGTTTGATCTGTTTATCCCCAGAATGTCAGACACTGGGAAAAAGTCCCACTGTGACTCTCCAGAGCCAAAGGTGGCGTCTCCACATGTCTTGTTGTGTCCAACCAGCAGATCCACAGAGACTCAGCTGATTCTCATGTCTGACAAAGAAAAGCATCAGCTCCTCACATTAAAGAAGGTGGAACCAGAACATGTCGGTGACTGTTGCTTCTAAATAGCTGAGGTTCATTTTCTACCAGTGAACTGACTCATGGCTGCAGCTCTAGGTCGCTGAATGGCTTCATGAGGACGACACAGCGGGTCGGACACAGCGAGGGAATCTGGTCTGGAAGGAGGAGGTTTCCTCCTCCTACAGATGAGACGTGACGCTGGTCTAGCGACTCGGCCCTGACGAGGCCCTGCTGGGTGGTGGTCTGTCCTGTCAGTTGTCACCCAGCTGTACAGACAAACAGCCTTCATAGAGTAAGATGTGATGAAACAATGAGCCATTGCTTTGTTTGGTCTGTTTAAATCTTGTAGTTTTCTGCAGTACAGACAACCAACTATACAGACGAGGTTCATCTTCTGTCCTGTGTTTGGGCTCTGCAGGGTGGAGCCGGGGGTGGAGACAGCCTTCCTTGGTACCCGTGCTGGCCTGATGAGGATCACGAGATATGCAGGGGTGGAGACCAGAGTGGCCAAGTAAGACTCGCACCTTGCAGTTTCTGCTTCAGGAGATTCTCACTCATTGTGCAGCAGTGTTACATTTTTCTACATCGTTAGCTAGAGTCTTTTTACTGTGGGCATGTCTTGCCTTTATTAGATAACAGTAGAAAAGAAACAAATGTCCCGGGCTAGACTCAAACCTGAGACAGTTCAATCACATGGCCATCGTCTTAAACCCCCTAGCCCACCAGGACATCCCAGTGTGGACTCTCACTGCTGTGCTGGCAGCTGTCCTGTGCAGCCTTTTGTAGGCTCTGACATGGACCCTGACTGTATTAATGGCTAGAGGGTAGGAGCTACCTAATCAAGCTACAGATTCACTGCACCTTAGCATTGACTCTTCAAGTCTCAGTGACCCGTCGTGTGCTGTGGGCAGGGGCGCTGTCATCCTGGAGGCGACCACTATTCAGGGGTTTCCTGTCCTTTGTCACTCAGCTGTATATAAATGGTGTTAGTACACGCAGGTGTATCACAGCATTCACCTTTCAGTAGTGTGATGCTCTTTCAGCTTGTTAACACAGGTTGGTGCTAGGTTTCACAACATATGTTGGCTAAAATTGAAGTTTCACTTTCCAGGAGGTTCCTGTCTCCGTCTGATAAAGACAACCTGTTCACCATTGATCACTTCCCTCTGTGGTACCGACTGGCTGTGGAAAACACTCCTGGAACCTTCTACTACTACCCCGTCAACGACAAAGGTCTGTCTCTGTCTGTCCCCTCGTCCATCTTTTTTATATTAGCACTTTTCTCTGTCATTACATGTCTCCCTAATCAGCAAACCTTCCGCCCTTCCTGTTGTAAATTTGTCTGTGAACAGGAGTGAAGTACGTCATCGCAACAACAGCAGTGACCGTGTCATCTGAAGGAAAGACGGCCATGGCTGGAGGTGAGTCTCGGTGCTGCTGCTCTGATTCAAAAGGCTGTGATACTGACCTCAGCTGTGGGGCTTCTTGTTGTGGCCCGCTGCTGACTTATCATCAGCCTCGTTACTTTTCATCACCTGAGGTGTGGTACGGTACACAGGAGAGCAGAAACAGTGGGCAGGACGTTGGCATCTCGAGAAGAGTCTGCAGGAATCTGAGAAAATTGAGTTTCTGCAACAAAAAGCCTCAGAAGGTTTTGAAATGTTTTACATGTAATATTCAGAAATCTTAATTATTTTCAGCTCTCTGCTGTAGGTGGTCGTTTTTGTTATCAAGTGTTTGTGTGTGTGACTGCAGCTGTCGGGAGACTTTCCATATCTCTGTACTGAAACCGGTGCTGCTGCGACAGCAGATGCAGTTTTCCCTTGCATCTTAAACGGGTAGACTAAGACACAAAAAAAGATGCAAGTGAGGGAAACATGGATGCAGACCCTGTGGCTCAGCCCTGTGATAGAGTGGGACCTGTCCAGGTGTACCCCGCCCCACCCCCCAAGCTCTACAGCATATGGTTTACAGAAGCTGATGGATAAATGGTTTCCTAGTTGTTGTTGGTGGATTGTCTGGTTTGTGGCTCTGTTGCTTTAGCAGTGTGTTTAAAGAAAAAGAAAGAAAAAATGTAGATAAATATAGTGTTTATTATCTTCACCATGAATAACAGTCCTTGAGTTAAATTTGAGACAGTTTTTCATGTGTTCGTGACAGAAAACATGGACAAAATAAAACACATATGACAGTTAACGTTTATATGGGCTGACTGCCTCACATGTTCAGTCAGTGTCTCATCCTTGGCTTTGCTGGGAATATAACTTGTCACCAAGCTTGTGCTGGATTAGAAGCTGTTGTAGCTCAGAGCCTCTAGGTGGCACTACAGCTCTAGTATCTGTGCGAATGCATCTTATCAGGGTGATGAAGCTCAAAGCAGCATTTCCCTGACAGCTGCAGGACTCCGACATGGTTTAAATGTCGGGTACAAAGAATGATTTCTCAAAGTGGGGATGTTGATGAACATCAAATATACACACCTGATTGGTAACAGAAAAGGTTAGTGCAGCAAACAACAGGACATTTCACAGTCACTGGCTTTTGTACTTTTGGAGCTTGTGCTTGTTGACACTAAGACAGACCACTTGAACAACAAGGTAGTTTCATACAGAAGAAAGAAAATCACGGATGAAAGGAAGTCCAGGTGCGGACGTGCCAAACGGCTTCAGAGGAATTGGCTGAGAGATGCAGCGCAGGGAATAACAATTCACAGAGCTTCCATATATTAAAGGAAGTGCTGCAGCATTCCACTTTCACTGACTCTAGTCCGGTCCATTAGCTGTGCAATCAGTCCCCACCCAGAGACTTTCTGCAGAACTGCAGGGTTTCTCTCTCCAGACATTTTCTCATCAGTGATGAGAGCTGAGGAGCAACCGTAGCATCCTGGAAGGACCAACGCTCAGTAAAAGGCAGCATGTCAGAAGCTGCTGATTCGATACCCATGCACGATGCCGCAGGCCTCTTTGGGCAACGTCTCCTCTGCTGAGGTCGGGGATGACATTTGCCCATCCTCCTGGTCAGTGTCAGCTCCAGACTCGGCCATCAGAGGCTGGCCGCGCCTTTTTGTCTTCCTCTGATATCGTGCCATCAGTGAAGCATAGACACACCCGTAAGCTGCTGCAACCACCATCATTACACACACCGTGCCACAAACCACACCCGCAACAATTTGTGTGCCATGTGCCCGGCGGACACTTATGGGCCGGTAACGCTGTCGAACACAATCCTCGTTGATGCCGATTCGTCCGGGCGGGCAGGGAGGCCGGGTTGCATAACCTGGTGGCCTGTCCCTAGTTGGATTATGCAGGCAGTAGTTGAACATCTCTGCTGGCACGCTGCGGATGTCCCTGCCCTTCAGATCCCCTGGGAGACAGCACTGCATCGCATCTACTTGCCCATCTACAGACAGAGGGGAAGACAAAGAAGAGGGGGAATAACAGAGAGGGACAAGATGACATAGAGGAAAGGAGAAGGGAGGAAACGAGGTGTGACTGAGGACTGAGAGAGGTCAATATATTCTTAGATGTCTTGGCTCAGCATCCATCCATCCTGCAGAGCAGAGATTAATTGTTTTGATTAGACAGCTTGTGAAGTACTGACTCAAAATACAAAGTGATTTGCTCAGGTACAGGCTTTTAGCACTGTCAGCCGAACGCCTAATGTATGAACTTCAGGGCATTTGAGATTTGGCTAACAGCCCTGCTCACCCCGGTAAATCAGCCACTCCATCCAGAGTTTGAAGTCCCTCAGCTTGCAGTCACACTCCCATGGGTTTCCCGCCAGCAGGAGCTGCTGTAGCCCCACCAGGGGCTCAAAGGTGACTCTGTCCAGGGCCACAAGCCGATTGCTGGCCAGGGACAGCCAGGCGAGGCTCTGAAGGCCATCCAGCAAACCTCTAGGCAGCCACAGGAGGCCATTGGAGGACAGGTCGAGTCTTCGCAGCCGCCACAGCCCCTTGAAAACCTCCTTGCTTAAACCAACGCTCTCCTGACTTCGATTCAACTCCCTAAGGGCCTCTGTGCTGCCTCTGTGGTCAGAGGTCGACAGGCGTACCCCAAGGTAGTTAGTGGAGAGATTGAGCCAGCGCAGGCTACTCAGGCTTGAAAAAGCCCCTGGCTGCAGGGTGGAAAAGTGGTTCTGGGAAAGATCCAGAAGCTCCAGGCTGCTCAGGTTGGACAGCTCCGTCTTGCCCAGAGAGGAGAGGTTGTTGTGGGGTAGGCGGAGGATCCGAGAGTCCGGGTCTAGCATAGCTAGGACGGGTGTCAGAGAGAGGAGTCCGACAGCAGAGCAGTCAGTCGTGTTACCGTAGCAGGTGCAGACACCAGGACAGCCATGGACCGAGCCCAGCAGTCCCAGGAGGACCAGTACCAGACCGGACAGGGTCGCACAGACTGGAAGAAGCAAAGAAACAGGAAGCGTGCCTTTAACATGCAGCCTGTGAACCTAAGCTTTATTCAGCTGTGCTCATTTCTCTGGATTCAAGCCTTATTCTTTCTGTTTGCTTTTTCAGTTTAACTGGTAGGTTTTCATCATGTACCTAGACCTCCACCTCATCGTGTTTAAAGCTCAGAGAGACACAGAACACAAGGTCTGATCTGGTGTCTGCTATAAAGAAGCTCACATATTCCTTCTTTCAGTGTGGATTAAAGCGTCCATTAAGTTCCTACAGTATGAAGCATGAAGTGTTTGTCCAGACTCACCCAAACTCTCCACGTGACTTTGTCCATTATCCATGTTCTTCATGTCTGTCACGTCAGCTCCACCCCAGCTTCAGCCTGCTGTCTGGCGGTCCTCGCTGTCGGCCCGTTCACACCAACTTCCCGCTGAGGGTGACTTCCTAAAGACACATCAAATGGAGAGAAAGAAGAAGAAGTTATTTGAGGCTTGTATTTCAGAAGCCACTGCTGCAGTGAAATTTTAATTACACCCTTGGTGTTTCTCAACATGGAAACACAGGAGGCTCCTTAAAAATTTAAGAGAAACATGGGTTACGTAACAAAAGTCGCAGCCATGAGTCATATATAATTCAGGTTACATTACATTAAGGTGTTCGGCTGGGTTTGTATAACAAATGCCTTAAATATTACACTACCCATCAGAATCGCGCTCCATGCCTGTGGCAAACACTGTGACCCGATCAGTACTGGATTGTTTAAGTAATAACATTAGAGACTCAGGCTGCAAATGATGATTATGTTCACTATCAATCCAGCTTGCTGACACGAGTCTGAGCCGTGAATCAGAGTTATAGTAAAGTCAGAAGTCTTCCTCATCTCACCTGCCAACAAAACACGTCACTGTGCTTAAAAAAGTTACTCAAAATCTGAACAAGACTTGATTTAAACTACTGAATGTTTTAAAGGGTTTTATACCAAGACTCCTTGGCTTCAGCTCGCTGACTGGATGTTAGTGAAATGTTGTGATTCCTCGTCAGCTTGTACCTTTTGAAATGTAGAAAGAGTGATTAAACCAGGGGAGCTCTGACTTTCATTATGAGGAACAAGAGAATGACCTGGGCTTTTATTTTGGATCCATGCTTAACTGGAGTTACTCCCTTATAAAGGTTCGGAGCTGGGTCTGGATTTACTTTGCTCTCGTTCAGCTCCACATGCCTTAATGTTCAATCATCAGATTTACTCATCGACTCTCATGGGGTCCTCAGGTCAAACTTGTGATTTTGTTTTCGAACATCTCTGGTGTTACTGCAAAGAGTGCAACTCCCTGTACAATATTAAGTAGAGTATGTGCAGAGTAAAAGGCATCAGCTGCTTTTTCTCTGACAAAGCAGGTCCACAGCGTATGGGCGCTGTGCTGTGCTGTGCTGTGCTGTGATGCACATAACATCTCTTGTCCTCAGTCCTTTCCATTCTTCAGTGCTCAGAACATGGGATTTTCATCCAGCAACACCAACATTGGAGGAAAAGTCAGTGCCAGCTTCTGTCTTAACATCCACATGTAATTCCTGTACACTGCGGATACTCAGCAGCACTAGCATCGTTTCACACATTCAATCAAGGAAACACAGTCTGTATTTTTTGGTGATTTGTTCAAGAACTGTTGATCTGCATGAAGCTGAAAGAGTTACAAAGAGTTTAGACCTTCGTGAGGCCACAGGCAGACAAACTTGCTGTAGATGGAGGAAAATTAGTTGTGTGCCTACTCTCCCTGGCAGTGGGCGTCCAGCTCAGATGTCTCCAAAGACACAACACTGAACCATCAGTGATGCACAAAAGAAGCCCAGAGTAACAGCAGAAGGCTGGTCAACATCTCTGTCCATGAGTCGACCACGCAGACTTCATGATGCAGCGAGGTTCAAAGAGCGTGTATTCGTTTCCTGACCCGACACCTTTGTTCAAACAAAGCCGAGCGACTCGAGGAGGAGGTTGGCTGATGCTGTTTGCCATCATTCTGTCAACAGAGCCGAGGTCAGGCTCCTCTCTGGGAAGGATCCATGGCTGCTTGTCACTTGGAGATGTTTGTGTGTTTTCTTTTAGACCTCTGTGCATTTACAATATGAATACATCCATCTGACAGAAGCTGGATGAACCAATCAGCTTTTCTGACGTCCTGGGCCATGTGAGCTGTTGAGAGATGGTTTAGGTTTGTGCATCAGGCTCCTGTGAGTGTCACCATGTAAAGATAGTTTTGGACTGTTTGTGATGTTTGTATATGTGTGACGAACTATGTGTTGTGTGTTATTTCCTCTTCGGTTCTCAGATCTCTAGTAAAAGAGATACCGATGTCTGTGAAATGACCTGATGTTCTAGATATAACCCCAGACATCTTAAATCATCTTACATTTTCCAAATGAATTCAGGCCATGTTTTGACCTGCACATCACTAAACCAGTGTCAGCAGAGCAGTGGGTTCTCTTAACCCTCAAGGCAACGTGTTTCTGATCTTAACTAGGTAGAACTGTAGAAGAACACCAGTGGAAAGCAATGGAAGTACAGTCTGTCAGCCTTTCTGAGGAAAGTCTTTGACCTGTGTCTTTTAAAGAAGTCTTATTGTAGTAAAGTAGAAAGTGTATGACCTAACTTTGATGGCACTAAATTAGCAGCCTTATCATTAGGAGCAGTTTTAGATTGAATTTGGTACCAGTTGCAAAGCTTGTTCGAAGCCCTGATGTTTTTAGGCTGATTGGATTCTGGCAAAAGCGGCAACTTCAAAAGAGGAAATAAACAAACATGTTCATGTTTGTGCATAAATGAAGGAGACATCCTGGTGAGTGTGTGCCTTTTGTTTTTACTGGTTCTCATCACAGACTGTTTTGTTGCTTTGCACCCAGCAGTTGTTTCCTGCTCCAGAGGAGCTGTTCACATCATTTTCCTACAAAAGGAAAAGAAAACGCTTTTGCAGTTTTTAGAAAATGCAAACAAAGCTGTTCTCAGTTTCTTCAGTTGTTAATTTTTATGGTGGTTTCAGGAGCAAACAGCTTGTCCAGTGCACCGTCAGCCAGGTTGGACACAGCAGCTGTGGGTCACAGATTAAAGCTGTGCTTTCAATCCTACAGATTAAAGCTGTGCTTTCAATCCCCGCGTGGAACAGAGGTCCAGATGGTGTTGAACAACTGGTCCTGGAGAACACTGTTACCACAAGCCAGTCACTCATTATTTTCCTTCAGTAAGTTTGGTTCTCAGCGGCTAATTTCACTTCTAATGTGGTTCTGTGGTGGTGGATGGGTGTGTGATTGTCTTGTCACCTCAGCTCTGCCACGCTCTGATCGATTTAGTAGCTGATGGTGGTGTTCAGTAAATCTAGCCTCGAGGTTTTGTAGCACTCCTGTAGTTTCCACAGTATTGTTAATGATGGTCCGCAGAGTTGAAGCAGCAGCGTTCTGGCCACAACTGTCCTGTTTGAGATCCTGCATCTTTGTTTGTTTGTATTTTGTTACAAAAAACAGCCAAACAGTTTTTTCTTGTTGTATTAAAGTTGTCTTGACTTAAAACTCCTCCATTTGGATTTTGGCACCAAGTCCTGCCTGCTTCATCTGCAGTGCACCGCTCCAGTTTTCTGGGCTCAAATGTGGCACTGCGCTGGCTGCTTAATGGCCTCTGACAGGCACCCCCCAACCCCACACCCTAACCTACCCCCTCGTGGCTGCACTTTTCCATTCACACAGCCCGAGAACGAGGCAGCCAGGCATTCGGTTGAGAGCACAAACATGCTGCAACATCCACACTGAAGCAGGATGAGCGAGGAAACGACTAAGAAGCACACACACTGAACCCACGCCAAAGCACACATACTCTTAGACTCTATTTAAAGGACAGACACAAACCTGTACACCACATGGTCAAAAGTATGTGGACACCTGATCGTTCCTGCAATATGTTGAGTATCTGCTTCCAAATTCATGGATGTACACTGTCTTCAGAAAGTAGTGCGACGTCTTTGCTCGCTTTATTGAGCCTAAGATTTAATTGTAAATTGATACCATTGTAATTTGCCCATTAGCCTGCACCCAGTAACACGTGTCAAATGTAAACTGGGCTGACTGGACAGAGTTTAGAAGGACACAGGTCACACTGCAGGTCAGGACACAAACCAGGACATGAAGCCCAGGAGCTCTCTGTGGTCAGACTTTGGTGAGGCCCAGATCAGGACCAGGGGATCAAACCATGTCTGAAGCTCTGAGTGTCCCCAGGAGCACAGTGGCCTCAGTAACTGGGATGTGAAAGGAGTCTGGAACCAGCAGGACTGTTCCTGGAGTCGGCGTCCGACCAGACTGAGGAACAAGAAGGGCCGTGGTCAGGGAGGAGACTGAGGACCCAGCGGACCCTCTGACAGAGCTTCAGACGTCATCTGCAGAGACGGAGGACGACATACTGTACATATGACAAACATTTTCACTTTGTTGCTCTGAGCTGTTGAGTGTACATTGATTGGCACCTGGGATGATGTTTGCAGTTTTATGTAAAACTTTATCTGCAACACAAAGTGTGGAAAAAGTGTGTGTCTCTGAATTCCTTCTGAAGCTGCTGTAACAGCCTCCACTCCTCTGGCCTCAGCTTTTCACCAGGTTTTGAACCTCCTGCAGGGATTTGTCCCGATTCAGACACAAGAGCACCGCTGATGTTGGTGATGAGGTCTGACTCGCAGTTGGTGTCCCAGGTTATGCTGATGGTGTTGGGTGGGGCTAAGGTCAGAGCTCTCTACACACCAGTCCACACCAAACTGGGAAACTATTTCTTTATCTTTTTGTTGAAATAGGGAAGGAACAAACACGTGCTTGTCTAAAACACTGCCCAACAGTTGGCTGCAACAAATCAAATGAAGTTTTAAACAAATCAGGACATTTGAAAACGTTTTGCTGAGCTCTGGATGGACATCACTGATTTTGTAGTCAAAAGGGTCGACTGTGAAAGTAACAAAATAAAAATAATCCTGTGGTGCAGGTGTCGCATGTTTAATGATTCACTCCAAGGAAAAACCAAAAGTGCACTCCAGCATGTGGACAGTGCTGTCCGCTTACTTCTGGCCAGATTGTATACGTGCGCACACAGGTGCACGGACAAAAGTGCACACTCTTCCTTGCTTTCAAAGGCACATGCACAGTACTCTACATACAGTATCTGCACGCACACACACACACACACACACACGCCGCTCACCATCTGCTATGCTGCTTCAATCTCTAAACCGAGGAAGACGAGCGACTCTGTTCTTCTTCTCGTTCATCTGCAGGGTTCAAAAAGAAGCCAGAAATCCAGATCCAGCTTAAAAAGCAGAGTCTGAATCTGAGGACAGACCAGTTCAGTCTTCAAAGGCAGAAACTGGTCTCGACTTAAAACACAGGAGCTCGATTCCTCGTTCGAATCAGAATCTGAAAGCAGATGCTGGACTGGAGTTTTGCTCCGGATCAAACACAGCCCGTTATCCTCCTCTTCATCCACACTGCTGCTCTCTCAGCTTCTTCTGATTGTCTCAGAGCTTCGTCCAACATACACCCAGCCTGCCGACTGAGGGCGAGCGAGCCTCTGTGTGTGTGATAGGCAGAGAGAGAGAGAGAGAGAGAAGCCCCATGCTGCTGCTGCTGCTGCTGATGATGATGATTCACGTGATTTTTCACTGTGTGTGCAGGAGCGCTTGTCCTCGTGGTGTTGTACTGAGTGTGTAATGTGCATGAAAGCAGCTTGACAGAAATAGAAACAGCAAAGTGTTGCAGGCTGAATTAATGAAGACAGAGATGTAAGGTGTAGTGTTTCTTTGCAGTGCTTTACTTAACTTACACATGCCAGTAAAGTAGATCTGAATTGGAGAAAGACAGTCTGAGAGACACTACGAAATGTCCAAGCCCCCGACCACAGGCTGTAGTTTGGGGTGGGGCTGCACACGTAGCCCCCTGCTGAAGATAACCTCAGCGGATTTGCTGCCACCCTGGGGTGTAATTGTACCACTGCAGCTTCCAAAGACATTTCAGTGTGTTTGTGGTAAACAGACTCTATCCTAAAGAAATATAGTGAATGTAAATGACTAGGGCTGCAACATTGATCATTTTCATTATTGATAACTTGATTGTTTTCTAAACCAATTGAATACTCATTTTGTCCAAAACGATCTTGTCCACACAAACTGCTGACGAATGCCTTGGCTGTTGGACACAGCTGCCAGTGGAACCACACCAGAAATCACTGATTAACAGCTGGGACATGGGTCGTTGTTTGGAGGTCTGACAGCAGGCGAAACCCAAGAAAAAGTCCAGTGCATCAGTCTATTAATACATCACTTTCCTACGCCTGTGGTTCTCAGCTCCAGGCCCACTGTGGTTCAGCTGAAGATGAAAATCTGGTAAAACACCTCAAATATACAGTTTCAGTTTTTTTAAAACATCTCAGAAATGTCCTAATTTTCCTGGATGCTGAAGGTTTTATCAAACTATAAGGAGGAACCAGTATCTTCAGCGGCGGGTGAATCCACATTTGGTCTCTAGTGAGTATGTGTCGCTGCAGGACGGTGTGTGTGGGTCAGAATAAACTCCAGTGTGTGTTCATGGTGATGGAGGAGCATGTCACCGCTAGGCTGGATGGACACTGGAGCTCTGTGGCTCAGGGGGAGAGACGCCAGGCTGGGAGACGGACACAGGGCGAGCTGGAGACGCTCAGTGTTGGTTTGAGGCTTTTCAAGAGATTTGTCGACAAATATAGAATAGAGTGTCGCCGGCCTTGTCCTTTAATCCTGAATCTGAGAAAACTAGATGAAACCAGGGTTCTTCAGGGACATTCTTGTATTTATATTTAGAGTGAAGACAAACGGGACGTCCCTAATAATCCTAACCATCATTTAATCCTCTGTGACCATCAGGTTTAATGATTAACATGGCTTTAACTGTATTTTATGCCAAATGTCATCAGTATATTTCACTGTCTAAATGTTTCTCAAGTTTATTGGATGTTATTTTCTTCATGTTAAGATGTAAAACCCAAGTGACCAGCTGGATTTTAATTGATCAGGTCCTCATCTGTACAAACCGCTCTGAAAATCTCCGCTATCAGATGTTACTCCCAGCTTCCAGAGCATCAGCCAGGAAAGTAGCCCGGTTATTGTACAAGTTAAAAGAAACTGTCTAGGTTGGCCTGTGTCACATTTTAGTTTCAGATGAGATTAGTCCAGATTGGTAGTAAAATGGACCATAAAACTTGAATGTTCTCAGCGCTGCTCTCATTTCTGCAGCTTAAAACATTTTTATGTCAACTTGGCACACAGTTACATCACACAGCGTTGACTACTAAAATATAATCCACACTAAAAAAAATAAAGCAGCTGCAAAGTCTTTGATTTATCACCATTAACTCTTCATGCACAAACAAGATAAAGTCCATAAAAGGAAAAGTGTCCTGAGAACGTGCACTCCATGAAATGTTTATTGATGTTTACTTGTAAAGTGGAACAAATGTGTGGGAGGTGTTTGGTCCCACTGTGGACACGTCCTTGCAGACTGCAGCAGAAACTGTGCAGCTGTAGCACCCGGCGATAAGGACACTGCTGACAGGAAAGGAGAAAAAAATACAAAATGAAGATGCAGAGCGAAGCCGCAGACCACTGAGGCTGCAGAGAGGCTATTTTAAAGCAGCGACAGAGAGTGATGCCTTAAGAGGTTTAAAGGACCCAGAGGTCAGAACTCTGTAACACACCATGTCACATTTCTTCTGTCTGTGACAGCACTGCTGTGTCACACTGAGCTCGTACAGGCGTCCCAGTTTAATGCACGGGGGGTCATGAACCCTCACTTAGGTGTTAGTGAGTGAAGTCTATAGGCGCATTGTCGGATGCTTGTAGCACACACCCAGCTTCACACTGATCAGTGCTCCCTAATGATCGCAGTGGACTTCAGTCTGATCCTCTGAGTAATCGAGCTGCTGCGGTGCATTACTGAGGGTCGTGTCATTACCCAGCATGCCAGAGCACAAACACAGCATCAGTGTTTACATCCCTTTTTGTCAGGACATGACAGAGGCGAACGCGGGGTCAGATTGATTTCCTGTCCTCCTCCTCTCCTCCACAAACACAGCAGACTTCATCTTGTCCACTGTCTAACGATGTGTGTGTGTGTGTGTGTGTGTGTGTGTGTGTGTGCGCTTTCTATTTTTAGCCATTGGGCTGCAGATGTCCTTGGATTTGCTGGAAAAGAGGTTCTGGGCCATCGCCAAGCAGGTGACTGGAGGATGCACT